TGTATCCTTACAAAGTGAGCTAGCAAAGGTGGATGATGAGCTCAAAGTTTTGAAGGACAAAAAGTGATGAGAACCCTAAAGAGAACAATGAGACCCACAGCACGACAAGGGATTTCTAAACTTCAAGAAAGCCAAATCAGGTTTATAATAGGACCTTAACCTGTTGTTTATGTCGCAACAAGAACCAAAGCTACAAACCTTGACCCATTGTCTATAACACAACAAGAACCAGAGGTATAAAGTTGGTTGATGCCACACCTTCGAATGATTAAGAACAAGAATGATAAGTCAAGTTAAAACACCACAAGAATAATCTTGATAAGTTCTGTAAAGTTCTGAAATGAACCAAAGAGAAAAGTCTCTCAAAACTTAGATTCAATAACTCCTCCCAATTAGGGTTACAAGCCCTTTATATAGGGAAAAATAATTCTAATCAAAATAAGAAACTAACACCCTAAGCCCTAATCTTAATAACCACAAATTGGGCCTCAAATAAATGAATGTTCAGCCTAAAATAATACCAAAAAAAAAAAAAATGAAAATCACTACAAGCAACCTAAAGTAACATAAAATATCAGTTTGTTACAAATTGTGACAAAATTACGAGATTTTGACGCAAATTGTGTAATTTAGCATAAGTAACCTTAATTAAGCTTCTCTTGAACTTGAATGATGTTTACCATGCCTTGATAATCATCCAAGCTTCGATGTACTTGTTACATGTTGTTATCAACTCAGATCTGCTCAATAAGGCCATTTAAAGCTTTTCATATCTTCCTAGCCCTAACTCTCGTGACTAGACCTCCTGGATTGTGTAATAGATCACTTGATGTGGTACATGTGGGGTCATCTTGATTCCCATCATTCCTTCTTTCCTCAAAAGGATTTGTCCTCACATAGTCACCTACATCAAAAGGAGAAAGATAAAAAACATTAAAAGTAGCATTAACTTTAACTCACCAAGAAGCTCCAACTTGTATGCATTATCGTTTATCCTTGCAATCACTTGAAATGGTCCATTGCCTCTTGGTTGCAACTTAGAATGCCTTTGTGCAAGGAATCACTACTTTTGCATATGCACCCAAACCCAATCTCCGGGTTTAAATACAACTTTCTTGCACCCTTTGTTGGCTTGATTTGCATATTGCTCAGTTTGTCGCCCTATGTTTTGTTGCACCGTTTCATGGAGGTGCTTAACCACTTCAGCTTTCTTTTTCCCATCCAAACCAGTTCGTTCATCAATGGGTAATGGCAATAAATCCAAAGGGGTGAGTGGATTAAAACCATACACAACTTCAAATGGTGAATTGCTGAATGGACACTCTGATTATAAGCAAATTCAACATGCAGTAAACATTCCTCCCAATTCTTCAAGTTTTTTTGAATAATAGAATGCAATAAGGCTGACAATGTCTTATTAACCACTTCACTTTGTCCATCAGTTTATGGATGACAAGTAGTAAAAAACAATAGCTTAGTTCCCAATTTTCCCCACAAGGTCTTCCAAAAGTAACTCAAGAACTTAACATTGTGATCAGATTGGAACACCATGTAAACGAACAACCTCCTTGAAGAACAAATTAGCAATGTTGGTTGCATCGTCGATTTTATGACATGGAATGAAGTGTGCCATCTTCAAGAACTTGTCAACAACAACAAAAATAGACTTGTGGCCTCTTTTTTGACCTTGGTAAGCCCAGAACAAAATCCATAGATATATCAACCGAAGGTTCAGTAGGTATGGATAAGGGAATATACAAACCATGTGGTCGACTCTAGATTTTGTTTGTTTACATGTTACGCACCTTTCACACATCCTTTCAACATTGTGTTTCATATGTGGCCAAAAGAAGCGATTGTTCAGAATATCTAAATTTTTCCTAACTCCAAAATGTCCCATTAAGCCACCCACGTGTGATTCCCTTATTAACAATGCTCTTAATAAACAGTTAGGCACACATAATCATTTTTCTCTAAATAAGAACCCATCATGCCTATAAAACTTATCAGAAGCTACCTTTTCACATGCATTAAACATGTTAGCAAAATCTGGATCATTAGAATATAATTCTTTAATGTACTCAAATTCTAATAACTTTCACACTTAGAATAGAGATAAGCATGTACTTGCGAGATAATGCATCAACCACAATGTTTTCTTATCCTTGCTTATACTTGATCACATAGGGAAATGTCTCAAGGAATTCCACCCACTTAGCATATCGTCTATTCAACTTACCTTGTCCCTTGAGGTGCTTCAACGACTCATGATCAGTATGTATCACGAACTCCTTAGGCCAAAGATAATGCTGCCACGTTTCTAAGGCCCTTACTAATGTGTACATCTGTTTGTCATATGTAGGATAGTTAAATGCTGCACTAGTCAATTTTTCACTGAAAAACGTAATAGGCCGCTGCTCTTGCATCAAAACAGTGCTAACGTCAATACCTAACGCATCACATTTAACTTCAAAAGTTTTAGTAAAATCAAGTAAAGTAAGTAATGGTGCAGAAATTAAATTCTCCTTAATCAAATTGAAAGCATTCTCCTGTTCACTTTCCCACTTACATCCAACATTGTTTTTCATGATTTCAGTCAACAGAGCTGCAATTCTGTTGAAGTCCTTGATGAATCTCTAGTAGAAACTTTCCAAACCATGAAAACTCCGCACCTTAGAAATATTCTTAGGTGTTGGCCATTCTTTAATAGCCTTAATCTTTCTTCGTTTACTGCAATTCCATCAGCTGAAAAACATATCCTAAAAAAGACAATCTGATTTGTGCAAAAGGAACACTTTTTAAGGTTAGCTTTCTTTTCTCAAAACCTTTAATACCATTCGTAGATGCTTAATATGATCAGTTAAACTCTTACTATATATTAGAATGTCATCAAAATAAACAACCACAAATTTGCCAATGAAAGCACGCAAAACATGATTCATTAATCGCATGAATGTATTAGGCACATTAGTTAATCCAAATGGCATAACTAACCACTCATATAAACCATGTTTCGTTTTAAAGGCTGTTTTCCATTCATCACCTTCCTTTATCCTAATCTGATGATACCCACTTTTTAAATCAATTTTAGTGAATAGGCAACAACCATGCAGTTCATCTAACATGCCATTTAATCTAGGAATAAGGTGACAATACTTTACAATGATTTTGTTGACAATGCGACAATCAACGCACATACGCCAAGTCCAATCTTTCTTAGGCATAAGTGGCATTGGAACTGCACATAGACTCATGCTTTCTCTCATAAGCCCCTTCTTCATGAGTTCTTCAACTTGCTTTTGAAGTTCTTTTGTCTCATTGGGGATGCTTCGATACGCTGGTCGGTTTGGAATTATTGCACTTGGAATGAAGTCAATCTGATGCTCAATTCCTTTCTTGGTGGTAAACCATTATGAATGTCCTCTGGAAACATGCCCTTGAAGTCCTGTAAAAGAGATTTAACAACACTAGGCAAAGAATCATTTAGTTCGTTAGTGTTGAAATAAGCATCTTTATACAGAAGCACAAACATAGGCTGCTTTGCAAAGAACGTAGCCTTGACATCACTTTCTTTTACATAAACACTCACTGATTTTCTCTCTTTGTTTTCAACACTCTCAAATTTTGGACTCTTTTTCTACTGTTTTCTCTTTGTTTTTCATACCTTTAAGCTCACTCTCATTTCTTAGCTCTCTCTCTTTTTTTTTTACTCTCAGTTGATCCTCATAAACCTGCCTTGGACTCAATGGTGCAAGAGTAATTGTTTTCCCCTTCATGAAAAATGAATTGTGATTTTTGAAGCCATCATGTGTTACCCTCCTATCATATTGCCATGGTCTCCCTAAAAGTAAATGTCCAGCATGCATAGGAACCATGTCACAAGGTATGTACCTCATCCTTATATTGTCCAATAGAGAATGAAACCAGAACTTGCTTATTTACCTTAATTTCTCTACAATTGTTTAACCATTGTAGCTTATATGGCCTTGGATGCTTCGTCATAGGTAAATTAAGCTTTTCAACCAAAACAGTGTTAGCTACATTAGTACAACTACCACCATCAATAATCACACTACATACCTTGTTTTTGACATGGTACCTCATGTGAAATATACTGTCACGTTGTACTTCATCATCTTTTTTGGCTTCCACATTTAAAGCTTGCTTGGTGATGAGCAGTTCTCCATCAACGACATATTCCACAACATCATTAGCATCTTCTAATGGTGGCATAGATTCATCATCAGATTCACCCTCAGTTTCAATTTTTCCATCTTCTCTCAAGATCATCGTGTGCTTATTAGGACATTGCGATGCAACATGCCCCCTTCCCAAGCATCGAAAACACTTGATGTCTCGGTTTTTGCCTTGCGTATTATCTGTTTTACTCTTCTCATTACTGCCAACTTCTTTTGACTTAGATGCTGTAGTTTTAGGCTTAAAAGCAAAATTTTCTTCCTTTTTGCTCCAATTTAGTTTCCAAGAAGATGAGGAACCTGAATTTTGCCCAATTCTAATGGTGCTGCTTTACGCTTGAGTTGTCGTTCTACTTTTCTCGCCATATGCACCATATCTTCTAATTCCACATAATGCTACAGCTTCACCACATTAGCTATATCACAATTTAAGCCATGCAGAAAATGTGCCATAGTTGCTTCTCTGTCCTCTTCCACATTCGCTCTAACCATTGTGATTTTCGTCTCTTTGTGATAAACCTCAATGCTTTTGGACCCTTGAGTAAGGCCCTGAAATCATTGATAGGGATCACAGTAGTAGTGACTAGGAACAAATCGCTTTCTCATCATCGCTTTCATCTCTTCACAAGTGTCAACAGGACGCTCTCGATTTCTACATCGACTATGCACAAGTTGATCCCACCACACCACAACATAATCAGTAAGTTCCACCGCTGCTAGTTTCACCTTTTTCTCCTTAGAATAGTTATGGCAATTAAACACCAATTTCACCTTTTTTTCCCACTCCAAATACACATATGGATCATTTTTGCCTTGAATGGAGGAATCTTCATCTTGATGCTACCTAAGTCACAATCTTGCCAATCTCCCCACCTTGTCAAATTTTGCTCTCCTCGGTTAAACCTTCTTGTTTGACTCCCTCTACCTCTCATAAATTTGTCCATACTGAAATTTGAGTTCTGAGTATCATTGTTGAATGCATCTTCATAATCATCATTGAGATCATCATTAGCATCATTCCTACGCAAATTTGGACTTCCATTCTGTATTTGGTATAACTTGGCTATGGCTACATCTTGCTTCTCCATTTTGTCTCTATTCTCACCAAACATGATGTCCAGCCTCTGAAATTGTTGTTGCATTGCTTTGAGCATGAGAGATTCATCTACATGTTGTTTTCTAATGGTTGATTTGTCATCACCGCTTGACATGATTAAAACTTACAACGAATGTTAGAAACAGAAAAATAAAAAGATCTCATAACACTCCCTTATGTGTTTCACTCCACTCTCTCACAGAATGGCACTCAACGCTCATGTTTTGCACACTATAGAACTTGGCTTTTCTCTCAACTCTTTGGAATTCTTACAAAGTTATGAATGCAAACATCTTTTAAACAATATTCAGTTTAAAAAAAAAATTTTGAAAATTTTGAAAGTTTATACATTTAGTAAGAATGAATCCATAAAAGTAACCTTTTTTTTTTTATTGGTTTGACTAAACTTAGAATTTGGTATCAAATTGCTTACATACCTTCACAAAACAAGGATTAAATCATAACGTAGTTCAAACTTTTCATCAACTTTTTTTTTTATTTGGTTTAACTAAACTTGTAATTTGGTATCAAGTTGCCTGCGTGCCTTTGCATAAGAAGGATCAAGCCATAATGTAGTTCAATTTTTCATCAACTTTTTTTTTTAATTTGATTTGACTAAACTTGAAATTTAATACCACGTTGCCTATCTACCCTCACAAAGAAAGGATCAAGTCATAACATAGTTCAATTTTTCATCAATTTTTTTTTATAATTTGAATTGACTAAACTTAGAATTTGGTACCAAGCTACCTATATACCTTCACAAAGGAAGGATCAAGTTAAGACGTATTTCAACAGTTTTATTTCAACATTCAAGCATAATTAATACCTCTTCACGAATTTTGCATTTATAGGTCCAATTTGCAACTTTTCTTAATTTGCCATCTTACATGCTCCATTTGTATAGACCTCTTGAATCACATAGGGACCATCCCATTTGGAGATAAACTTGTTTCCTATTTATGTGAGACAATAGGCCTTCACATAGCTAACACCATATTACCAACTTGAAATGTTTGAGGCTTCACTTTTCTATTGAAAGCTTTGCTTGATAACACTATAAATTGTTGTGCTTGAAGACTTTTCTCATCTAAAGCTTCTAATTCTTCCAAATGAAGATGAACATTATCTTCTTCCACTAAGCTTTCTTGTATAGCAATTCTCAAGGATGGAATTTGGCACTCAAGAGGCAAGACTGCTTCAATGCCATAAATAAGTGAATATGGATTAGCTTGTGTTGGCATTTTATAAGTTACTTTATAAGCCCATAAAGCTTCACCTATTCTTTCATGTCAGTCTTTCTTTGAATTTTTACTATTCTCTTAAGAAGATTGCATAAAGTTTTATTAAAAGCCTTTGCAAGACCATTAGTTGGTGCATTATACATAGAAGAGTTGTTCTGCTTGAATTCAAACTTCTCATATAGCTTGTCTATTTCTTTATTATAAAATTCTCTTCCATTATCAGTTATGATATAGCAAGGTACACCATAACGATAAATGATATTTGTTCGAATTTCTTGACTTCTTTAGGAAGTATAGGCTTTGCCCATTTTGAAAAATAATTTGTTGCAGTATGTAAAGATTTCCTCTTGAACTTTTTGGCAAAGGACCAACTACATCAAGACCTCAAGCATCAAACAGCCATGATGCCATAGTTGGATGCAATGGTTCAAGCGATTGTAGAATCAAGTTCACATTATATTGGCAAGCTTGGCATTTTTTATCATATTCCATGCAATCTTTAACCATAGTAAGCCAATAATAGCCCATTCTTTTTATTTGAAAATGTAGTTTGGGTCTAGATTGATGAGCACCACAAATGCTTGAGTGTGCTTCTTTTATTACTTTCATAACTTCTTCCTCCCCCAAACAATGAAGGAAAAGTCCTTCAAAAGAGTGTCGATATTGTATACCTTTAAAATATATGAAGCATGGAGCTCTATGTCTCATATTAGTCTTGTGATGTAAATCATTAGGTAACTTTCCATGCTCTAGATAATTTATCAGATGTTCTCGCCAATCTTCTTTTTCAATTTTATAAACTGAAACAAGACTTACTTTTTCTTCAATGTTATTTCAATAATTGGTGAAGTAACCCATCTTTGATCTCTGGAGACTTTTACTTCAGTGTTTGAAAATGACAGTGTTGATGCTAAATTTGCCAAGGCACCAGCTTGCTTATTTTCTAGTCTCGAAACATGCTTTATTGTAACTTGATCAAATTGAGCTAAAAACTTAGTAGCATAATTGAAGGTACCAGGCCTCTTAATTTCATATAGTGACAAGAGCTGATTAATAATTAACTTAGAATCTCTAAATACTTTTAAGTAAGTTATTCATATGTTAATTGCCATCTCAAGCCCTATGATTAAGGCTTGATACTCTACCATATTATTTCAATAGTGTTGGGTGAGCGTGAATGCTTATGGTAAAAGTTCATCATTTGGAGTAACAAAACCAACACCAGCACTAGCACCAACATCATCAATATGAGTTGCACCATCAAAGAACATTGTCCATGCCTTTGATTCTTTAATGAATAAGGCATCTTCATCAAGAAGTTCTTCAAAAAATTCCCAATCATTTGGAACTCGTGATCTACTAGAAAATCAACAAGTGCTTGCCATTTAACTATTTTTTGAGGTTTATATGTAATGTCAAATTCTTGAAGAATAAGTGCCCATTTTGCCAATCTCCCACTTAGTACCATTTTTTTCATAAGATACTTAATAGGATCAGCCTTGGAAATAAGGCAAATTGAATGAGTTTGCAAATAATGTCTTAGCCTCTTGACTGTAAACATTAATGACAAACATATCTTCTCAATGAGAGAATAGTTCAAATTTGCAACATTTAATGCTTTACTAAGATAATAGAGTGCGTTTTCCTTCTTTTCATCATTTTCTTGTGCTAATAATGCCCCAAGGTATGTTCTTGAGCTGCAATATAAAGAATGAGAGGTCTTCTAGGTATAGAAGCCTTTAAAACTAATGGCCTTAACAAATAAGCTTTAATGCTTTTAAAGCATTTGTGCATGCTTCGTCCCATTCAAATGGTGAATTCTTTTTTGTCAAGTCACTGAAAAGTTGGCATTGTCCAGCCAAGTTTGAAATTAATCTTTGAATGTAATCTAATCAACCTTGTAAACTTTTAAGTTCATGCAAATTTTTTAGCTTAGGCATTTTCAAAATAGCATCAATCTTGAGCTGATCAATTTCGATTCCATGATGCCTTACAATGAAACCTAAGAATTACCCAGATTGAACACCAAATGCACATTTCAATGGCTTCATTTTTAATTAAAAAAGTCATAACCTTTCAAATACCTTTTGAAGATCATTTAGATGATCACTTTTCTTTTTTGATTTCATACTAAATCATTAATATAACACTCTACAATTTTATGGAGGATGTCATCAAATATCTTTTGCATCACACGTTTATAAGTTGCACCGGTGTTCTGAAGCCCAAAAGGCATGATTGTGTAGCAATAATACCTTTTGGAGTTCGAAAGGCTATATACTCTTAATCTTCTAGTGCCATTCGAATTTGATTATATTGTAATGATCCATCCATAAATGATAAAACTTCATGGCCACTTGTAGCATCTACCATAATTTCAGTGAAAAGAAGAGGAAAATCATCTTTTGGACATGCATTGTTAAGATCTTGAAAATCCACAAAAATTCAAAGTTGACCATTTTTCTTCCTTACTGGGACAATATTTGAGATCTAAGTAAGATATTTCACTTCTTGAATGAAACTAGCTTCTAATAACTTATTCACCTCAACTTTGATTTGTTGAATTAATTCTAGTAAAAACCTACATTGAGGTTGTTTTTTTAGTTTAGTACCTTTCTTCATTACAAGGTGATGAATAGCCACCTTTGGATCTAAACCAAGCATTTCTTTATAAGTCCATGCAAAAACATATTAATATTCATGTAAAAACTCAACATAAGCATTTTCTTCTTTTGGGGTTAAATTTGCATTCAAAAATATTGGACGAGGATATTTAGGGGTTCCAAGATTAATTTCTTTCAACTCATCTACTGTGGCTTGATTTCTATCCTCAAAAATTGATGGAGCCTCTTCAACTTTTTCTTCAACTTTAAGCTCAACTTCACTTTCATCACATATGGTGGTATGGTTAGAATATACAACTTCTTCACTTTCTTGGCAATTAATCTATTCATTTGTGAAAAGAATAGTATGCTTCTTGGCTTTCAACATATCTCCTGTGTTCACTATCAAATCATTTTGTCACTTCATTCGAGATAGGATGATATTTTGAATTTCTTTAGATAGGATGATATTTTGAATTTCTTTAGAATAAATGGTAGAATTTTTTTACTTTGGCTTCCCTTTCTTTATTTCTCCTAGCCTTGCATGAACTAAAGCTTTCTTAGTAGGGGAAATGCTCTCTTGCTTACCAGTTCAATCAAAGATTGAAGCTCTAGTTGTAGGTGTACCAAGACAATCAAAGACTAAGACTTTTGAGGATTCATTTTCTTTCTCATTTTCTTCTTCAATATTAATATATTGCACAATCTCTTTGTGTATCTTTAATCAATATGGGACAAAGTCATAGCCAAGTCTTACTTGAGATCCTTGAGCAGAAGCCTTCTTTTCTCTCCATGCATTATGAACTTTTATTGATCCTTTTGCACCTTTCTTTAGATCTTCATTAGATTCTTGTGTTAATTCAATAACTTCGTCTTGTTCATAACTTGATTTTGCCAATAAATTATAGGCATTCGAATCAAGACCATTAATTCGCTCCATAGGCAAATGCATTTACTTGGTCGAAAAGCATTGCCTTAGCTTCTTTAGTTCTTCATTTTGAGGCTTAGTAATCTTTGGTGCCACAAGGCTAGTGATAGGGAGATTCAAGCTCTTCAAATCATTAACTAACTCATCTTGCCTCAAAGTAAATGTCGATTGACCTTATTTCCTTCTTGACATAGGCACATAGCGAAAAATAGGACTTGATTGAGAAGCTTTGGCTTCATCTTCTTTCTTCTCTTTGCCTTTATCATTTTTTGTTGGCAAGGTTGCTTGATTTTCTTTTTGTGCCACCTTTTGTGCTTCTTGCTTTGGATTTGTTTCCTTTGTAGTTTGAAACATGGTTTCTTACACGTTCTTTTGTGAAGCTTTCTCAAGATAAAACTTGGCATCAGCAAAATGAGATTCAATTATAGAAAAAGGATTGGAATCTGCAATAACTGTTCCAACTCGACCATTTCTACAATACTTGAGACATTGGTAAGGTGTTAATGAGAAAACACCATTCTCATGTATCCATGGCCATCCTAAGAGTATATTATAAGTTGTTTTTGCATCAATAATATGAAATAATATACTTGATTCCATGTCATCGATTAGCAAATTCAATCTTATTTTACCAATAGATCTTTGTTCTTCTAAGTTAAAGCCTTAAATCATTCATTTCTTTTGAAGGAGCTCTTCTTTTGAAATCTTCATGTCTTGCATTATCTTGATAGGAAGTATATTTATTGTTAATCCATCATCTATGAGGATTTGATTAATTTTTTGTTCTTAAGAGTAACCAACCACAAAAAGAGGATGATTGTGAGGCTTTGATCCCAATAAAAGGTTCTCATAAGAAAATATAATTTTTAATGAACAAGGAGTAGAGCTTGTAGATTTTTCTCTTGAAGATTTATTTCTTCTGTCTTTTCAATGTCTCTATCAATTTAGTAACTTATTGTAGGCATGATGATTAACTTTTTCTAATACTTTTGGCATGAACTCAACACGTATTATAGGAGATCTTAGTTTTTTCATAAACTCT